TAAATCTTATGGAGATTCAATATAATTGATGTTTATCTATTGTTAACATCAATGATTGGGCATGGTCATGATGGTCATGATCTATACTATCTATATAAGGAAGAAGAAGAAATATTGACAGAATAATATCCATACCTTGTAGTGATTGGATCACTTTTATATTTAGCCACATCTATAAGATTAAATATTGTATTTGTAGTTAGTATTCTTGCAAGACACAATGCATGTCCAATACAATGATATTGGAATGGCATCAAACATATACTACATTATTTAAAAAGACAATAAAGATTTGGGATTATACTACACACAATCTACAAATCCAAAATTGGTTGGATATTCTAATGCAAGATATAAATCTGATATTTTAATAGCTAAATTTCAAACAGGTTATATATTCTTAAGACATGAAGTCACAATATTATGGAAATTAGTGAAACAAAATATAATTGTAATTTTATTCAACCATGCATAAATTATTGCCTTACACAAAGCATCTCGAGAATGTATTTGGTTGTGATCAATTGATAAACTCATTTAGACAACCTATGGACTTTGATATGATGATTATCTAACTATCTTGTATAAAAATAATAGTACTTATATTGCATAGATATAAGTTGGTTTTATTAAAGGCAATAGAACAAAGCATATTGATCCAAAGTATTTTAGTTATAACCATAACTTGATTATTGATTAAGTACTTAAGATAAAAAAAAATGAATCAGCAAATAACCTTGTTGATCTCTTCACCAAAGCTCTCTCTTTGTGCAACCATCGCCGATCTACTTATAATATTGGCATGCAGCTACTTGCTTTTCTTGAGCAAGAAAGTTAATGAACTCTTGATATAATGTTGTATTTTTTTCTTTCATCTATGGTTTTGTTTTTAAATACAATAAGATTTTTCTAAATAAAGTTTTAATGAATCAACAACTATTGATCTTGTAAAATTATAAAAAAGTATAGATCATAATTCTATGCATATAAATATCATGACAAGCGAGGACGAATATTGAGAGTATTAAATATAGCCGGCACTCTCTATGTTATTTATTATAGTCTATAATAAATACTATAGCTATAGTGTTTGAAATATAATAGAGAGAAACTATTTATCTTCTCCTCTTTTTTATTTATAAGAGAGATAACCATATTAATAAACTCTCTCTTATATGTGTGTGTGTGTGTTTTACATGTGTATGCACATTACTTCTGACTACTCTTGTCCTTCTCTCTAAAATATTTTCAACAAAAACCAAACAATGTCACATTTGTTATGTCAGTGTAAGGATTATCAAAGCACTTTACAAATTTAGTAAACAATATGGATAGTAAATAATATAAAAAAATAGTTAATGGTATTTTTTCATAGTCAAAATTCGTAATAAAATAAGACAATCAAGACCTAGGATGAAGATACTACTTAAGACCAACATGCAAATAATTTTATATGCTTACAAAAGAATCTTAGCCAAACTTAGAAGGTCCACTCCTGATCTAGAGAAAACTAAGAATATACAACCCATCTAAAACCATTTGTGAAAAATCATAACACAACTAAATATCAATACCAAACATTCATTTATTCATGTAAACCAATTATCAGCAACAATTTTGAGATGTGACAAGACAAGACAAGGAAAACACCAACAATCACTCTCACATCATGCGACTATTTGCATACACAAACTATAGATTTAAATTAAGTTCTACCTATAAAATAGACACCCATGTCAATATTACAGAATACTTGAAACTCCAAGTTTAGAATTGCACTTCTACAAGTGAGTCCACATTTAACAAAGCATGAGTCAGTGTCAACCTGGAAATCCTAACTCAAAGTTTTATGACACAACCCACTCAGCAAACATTGTGCCACATGGGATTGTGGTGTTATTGGACCTAGCTCCCCACAATGGTCATCAGAGAAGGCAATGGACTGACTGACTGAGCACCTGGCAGTGTGAGAAAGCATCTGGAAAGGAATTTCTGAAGCACACAATTCAAAGAGAAGAATGTGTAGATCAATGTGGTATAGCAATGCCATTCAAGGAAGAAAGCAATTTAGGCAGCACAGTCACAAAAAATGGCTTCAATCCATCCTTGTGAGCCAAATCAATTGTGTTTTTGTTGTTTTGTTTTGTTGAGATTCAAAGCCAGATCGTGAGGTGAAGGAAAATGGGCATGTCATCTTTCTCAGCAATCTAGATAATAAAAGCATAATGTATGTGAAAGAATTAACATCAGCATGGTTTTGAGCCACTTTCTTTGTTGTGGGGTTGAATGGCTATGTCTTGTGCATTGATTACATGAATTGAAGCATGTGGGTGTAGTGGGGCTTGAAAGAAACATGGAGGGGAGGATCCCCTTGTGTTATGAATCTTACAATTTTGTTCCAATTCTTTTTAGGATATTGAACTTGATGAAGAAGTTCTTAAATCTAAAGATTGAAGTTAGAGATTGTGATCATTTGTAATTGATGGGGAATGCATCATCATCAATGTGGATTCCTCTAAGTTAGTAGGTAGTGCAATTGATCTATTTATGGTACTTTGTATGCATTCCATGTTATAAATAAATAAATAAATAAAGATATATATATATATAGTTATATATATCATGTACTTGTAATAAAGAGAAGAAATATATATCTATATATATATATATATATATATATATATACATATGTATAAAAGATTCAAATAATAGATTATTGAATCAAAATTATATTTATTGTGTAATATTACAATTTAGAATAAAAAATAAAACTACTTATTTTTCTTATTTTATTCACCTAATAGTATAATAATAATTCACCTATTATAAATATTATTATTTATTAAAAATAATATAAATAAAAAATAAAAATATATATAATTATAGTATTTTAAAAATTTTATAAAATATTTTAAACCATTTTAAATGAATATTCAAAATAAAAAAGGTAAACTTTTTAAATTTTGAAGCTAATACTGTAAGTTACTATTTAGTTATTTTAAAAATCTATCTTTTGTTTTTATATAATTAAAAAACCGCATATTAATTTTTTTAAATTTAATATAATAAATGTGAAATAGAACACCAAAAAACGTCAAAATTTTGTTACAACATCTGATATATAAAAAAATAATAGTTAATAGAATTCAAAATTAAGGGTAAACAATTTTAAATTTTAAAAGTAATGTAATGTTCTTAAAGAGGTGAAAGAATTTAAGAGTATTATAACTTCTTTACTTATACCTATTTTAAATATATTATTTATTTTATGACCACCTAAATTAAATAAAATCACTAAGAAATTTTAACATAAATAAATAATTAAATCATAAAATTAGAAATCGTATTATCATTTAAGTTATTAAAATTTTAATAAATTTTAATTGGAATTGGAATTAAGTGTGGTATATATATTTGATTGAATAAATCAATATATACATAAATATACAAGAAAAAGACTTGTAAAAATACAAAATATTAAACTAAATTACAAAAATGTTGAAACTAATTTTTAAAACTACATATCCTAATTTTGTAGTGTATTTTTAATAAATAATATAATTTCCTATTTTTAATTAAATTATCATGTTTATTTCTTGGAAGTTTAAACGATTATTTTTATATTTCTATAAAATACTAAAACTCCACATACATATCAAACAAAGATCACCTATTCAACTATACAGATAAATCACTTTGAATTGTTTTTGTTAGTCATAAAACAACATTCTTTATATAACATAACAACAAAATTACAATCATTATTTATATTTCTTATTTTCTTCAATCTCTCTCTCTCTCTCTCTCTCTCTCTCTCTCTCTCTATATATATATATATATATATATATACACCTATAAAGTTGAAATTCTAATGCAACAAAATAAATCAAAAATAGCTTTATGATAATATATATACATATATTAATAAACCTTAAATGTATACATTTTAAAAGTAGCCTTATTTATCTATTTATTATCATAAAAAATCAAAATATATGTAATAAATACAAATCTAACAATGTCTGCAAAATTTTTAAAATTACTATTAAAAAAATTATCTAATAAATTATTTTGTAAAAATAAAAGAAATTTATATACATTTAAATCCAAAATATATACTGTAATATATTCGACATTTTGATTTTTTCAAAACATCAGTACTATGTATTAAATTTCTCGCCATTGACTCTTTAAATGTATCCAATTTGTTCTTAAAGATAAATCATTGATTTTGCCTGACAAAAAAAACTTCTAAAAACTGAAAAGCTTAGACAAAGACATATGTAAAGTTTTTACAATATGTATTTAGTCTTTGAAGTAAAAAATGAATTGAATATAAAAATAAAGTCAGCATCAATCACAAACTAATGAATTGAATCCCAGTAATTATGTAGATTGCAAAATTTCTTACATCGTCACATATCTAAGTTGTTATTAAGTTGAAACACAATCACAAACCCCCCCCCCCAAATTGAAACTAACAACAAAAGCAAACACACATGTTAAAAAGTCACAATTAAACCATTTTAAGTCTTGAATTCAAAATTAATTCTATAAAACACTTACAAAGATTTATTTATTTTCAAACAATGGCAAAATTTCCACACTAATTATTTCAATTTTCTACGTTTACTAAACTCCAAGCAGAAGAAGATGAACCCACATTCAAACCCCACGAAAAGTCCATAGAAAGCCCTCCACCATATTTCAAAATCCCCCAACTCTCAAAGAGCCGAGAAAGTAAACAGACAAAAGGCAAAGAGACAAAAGTAAAAGTGTAGAGGAGGCCAGCAAGGCAAGGGATGAAGACCAGAGCGGGTCGCCATCCAAGAGGGGGGGGGGATCGCGGGTGGAGGAGGAGGAGGATCTCATTCATCGTCGGGTTTCGCTCCCCAACCCGGCCCGTTGGAACGAAGAGCAAGGATGGGGGGCAAGGCAGGGACGAAGTCCCCTCTTCCTCCTCCTCCTCCTCCTCCTCCTCTTCGAAGACTTGAGCCTTGAATGTAAATGAGTGCTGTTGTTGCGGGGCCTATCTCCACCGGTGCTCGTGCCCGTGCTTGCTTACTTACGTGCTTGCCCTTGCTCTTCGTCCTCTGCCCTCTGTCCTCTGCCTCTGCTCGACGACGCCCGCTCTTGTGGAGGAGGAGGAGGAGATGGTGGTGGTTACTTAGTGTGTTGTTTTCCTTGAGTGTGGGCTTCGAGTTGAGTTGGAGACGTGTCGGGGGTTTGAGTAGGGGAGCGGTGAGGTTACACGGCGTGGCAGTTAAAGATCGAGAGTGGATCGGGGGGAGCGGAGTAGTGGAGCTGCTGTGAGCCGTAGTGGTGGTGGTGGTGGTGCTGCTGCTGCTGCTGGGGACCGTGCTAGGGTTTCAGGTGGTGTCGGTGAGTGGTAGCCCGTGATGGCTTCCAAGCGTATTCTGAAGGAGTTGAAAGATCTGCAGAAGGATCCACCGACATCATGCAGCGCGGGTGAGGCTGGCGTTGCGGTTTTGATGGCGTTCCTTTGTGTGTGTGTGTGTGCGTGTGCGTGTGAACATTTGTGTACAAGTTAGTTTGTTTACTTGAGTATAGATTGGAGTTTGTGGCGGTGGCCGTAGCGATGACAGTGGTTGCCCTTGGGCATTTCTGTCAACGTTGTTTGAGCTGTCTGAAAGTTGTTGAAAGCTATGTCTTCTTGTTTCCGAGTTGCGTTGTTGTGGAGTTAGAGGTTGGAAATTCGAGGTCTATTTGGCGTTTCAAACAAGTTCTTGATGTGGATTGTGATCTGTCGGACCTTCATGTTCAAGTGTGGGCGTACTTTGTTTTGGGTTTTTTTAAGTTACCCATGCGTTTGGTCTCTTTTGCAGCAGAAGCTCCACGGGGCACATGCTTTTATGTTGTCACGTGCAACATGTTAATCGATTATCTTCAGCAGTTTTGTTGAACATGTAGATTTGCTGGATCTTTTTTCTATAGAAATCGAGAGTGTTGTGGTTCTTCGAAATTTGTTTTAGACACATTCGAAGTTGTTGGTTCATGCTGTATAGTAATCGGGAGAATTCTTAGGGCTGGAAGTAGTGGAGGCACAGAAACTTAATGTGCACTGCTCGTAGGTTGGAACTTCTACCCTTTTCCTGTAAAGGGCAGGTGTTTGTGAAGTCAGCCCGAATTACAGTAGGAACGTTGAGCAGCACGGATTTTTTCTGCCTTGGCGATGTCCATCCATTTTGATAGTGTAGAAGAGCTACACAGTCGGAGTTGTTCATGTGAATGACTCGAGATCCATCATTTACATGAAATATCTCATGTTCTTTAGGTCTTCAGATTTTTATCAATTGAGCTCGGAAATGTCACGAGAGTAAGAGTCGAAGGTCGGTTTGTCAGAGATGGACTGCAGTTTTACTTCTGAATGATACTTATTATGATATATCGTGACCGTTGTCTTACTAGCTGGTTGCTGTTGATGTACACCAGGACCTGTGGCAGAAGATATGTTCCATTGGCAGGCTACTATTATGGGTCCTCCAGATAGTCCGTATGCCGGAGGCGTATTTCTGGTCACCATCCACTTCCCTCCCGATTATCCATTCAAGCCCCCTAAGGTATGCTTTCTTGGTTGTGGTGCAGGGTCTCGTTGGGTCCGGGTGTCCTTTTTCACGCAAAAGGGTTCACATCACAACATTGCAGCTTGTTTATGTCATTGTTTGTGCATAAATTATCGAATACCATCCTTGTCTTCAATTCAAGTATATGCGCGAGTGTTGCGATAGGATCGCGATCGTAATTGTTTATACCTCGACCATAGAGGTGAAGCTGTTATTTCGGGTGGACATCGAGGTCAGGGTAAACGGTAAATTTGAAATTAACTCGAAGTCACCTTTGCTAAGACTCTTTTTACCCGTTTCAGGTTGCCTTCAGGACCAAGGTTTTCCACCCTAACATTAATAGCAATGGGAGCATTTGCTTGGACATCTTGAAGGAGCAATGGAGCCCTGCATTAACCATATCCAAGGTCTGTTTGATCCTCATTTCTTTCAAGCTTTTGGCCTGCGATTCCACGTCTCAGTATTTGCAGAGCTGTGTTTCAATAAGTCGAACAATACAGTGCAGTTTCACCTTTGGCTAATTTATGGCACACGTTGATAACCTTTCCTTAACTGTTCAACTAGTAGTACTGGTGATTTTGAATATTGTTGGATTTGTTGTTGCTTCTGTGTGGACAGCTATGATCGGTTTCTTAATATTGCGTCTTTTTATTTAAGCCTTTTACATCATTTACTAAAAGTGCGATAGTCTTAATATTTTTTGTGGCGAAGCATGAGCCTATATTGTGCGAATATATTTGTAAACTTTGCAAGGCAAATGACCCGAACATGTTTGTGTGACATGGCGCAGGTGCTGCTCTCAATCTGCTCGCTGCTTACGGACCCTAATCCAGATGACCCGCTGGTCCCAGAAATTGCTCACATGTATAAGACAGACAGGCAAAAGTATGAGGCAACTGCCAGAAGTTGGACTCAGAAGTATGCAATGGGTTGAGGCCAAGAAGTTGCAGCAGCAAGGTTGCTAGCATTGTGGGATTCGCCATGACGTAGATGTGAATATCCTGTCTTTGCTTTACTGTTTTGCTGGATGGGAAACGAGGATGAAATTACTAGTTGGCCTTGAGGGTCCTGATGATGAGTCTTGTAGTTTTTTCTGTCATTGAGCCAGTCTAAGTTGCAATATACTCGTAGGGTGCTAAATGTGTACTGAGAGCTTAAGTAGTCAGATAAGTTTTAAACTATTTGGTGCATCTTTTGCTTGGGGCCCTGAAGATCATAGACGCTCCACTTCCTCGCTGTTTCAGCTTTCATGCCTGTGCCAGGTTTCATATATTCATGAAAAGATTTGGCATTTCTTTTGTTTTGGTGCTTCTTCTCTGCAGTTTTGGGTGGAAATCACAACCCCATGATGTGTCATTCAAAATGTTGGTTTGACTGGGTATGTAATCGCTTATTCGTGTATCTTTCAACTATTGCCAGACATCTCTCAATTGTCCTATGATGGTCTTCCATAATCGGTACACGACGCCGAAGTCACCTGGAACTTCGTCAAACTAGTGGCCACATGTTGGAACTCACTAGTGCCAATCCTGTTCACGCCACACCCTTACCGATGTACATAAAAAAACATACAGCTAGATGGTCATCGAAACTAATTTGGTTGATGTTACCATCGTCACAAGCCATGAGATGGTTTTTTAATTCATAACTTAGCAATTAACGTATGCTATTGATAAAATCGATATTAAATATGATCGCTCGAGTGATAAAAAAATAATAATAATAAAAAAAAAAAATGAGAGAAAAAGACAAGATTAAAAATTGAAAATTCATAATGTTTTACGTTTTTCTTTAATCAAGTCCGAAGTGACGTATTGATCATCATTGTTAAATTTGATTTGTATGATTACCTCTAGAAGTGCCTTCAAACATGAACTGACAGGTTGAAACAACAATAAGAATTTGATTTAAAATTATTCAATTATAAAATATATATATTTTTGGAATAAGCGCACCAAAACATCTAATATTCAAACTTCTCTTGTCTCAATCTTAGATTAGATGCCATTTTTTTCTAGAATTTTGCAAGATTATTAATTCTTGAAACTAAAATCATATAAGTATTTTTATTAATATAATTTCATATAAAAATACTTGAAAGCAAACATAGCTATTGGTACATATGCAATTCTAGATAATAGTGTATGATTGAGTTGGTTTAAAAAAGTGAATCAACTCGAGTTTCAAAAGTGAATCAAGGTTGCTAAAACTAAAACTCAAACTCAAGTTTTTTCAAATAAAACTCAAACTCAAGTTTTTGATAGTTTTATTTGAAAAAAAGATTTTAAGAGTTTTTAAATAAATAAATAAAAATATATAATAAAATATCTGACTAAAAAAATAATTATTGTTGTTGTTGTTTATTTAATTACTTATTAATTTTCATAAGTGTAGTATTTGACATCTTGTATTGCATTGAAGGTTTCTTTTTTTAAAATAAATTTCAAGTTTTTCAAATCTATGTAAATCCTAACACAAATGATGAAAAATGTATTTATAATATATTTGATTAAAAAATTAAAATGATTTATTAAAATAAACCAAAATAAAGTTAGAAATATATATATATATATATATATATATATATGTGTGTGTAAATCCACATTCTATGCCATACACCATTTATGAACTCTTGCAAATATATCACAAATGATAGACAATGAAATGACTCTTGTGATGATACCCATGTAAGGCATTCTACAAGGCCACCTCCATTCAACATTATCCATGCAGTGAAACGGCTTGCTAGTCTAGTCTATCAAATCAGAAGCATCACAACTTCCTCTTCAACCAACCCATTTCATATCTAGATTTGATTGCTCCAAACTCAGCAAGCAAGCAAGTAAAAAATATCCATTACATTACAAAAACAACCTCACTCTATCAACCGCAATCAAGCAGCCTCTCAACTAGCAGAAGCCTATTTGATCATCCACTGCAGTTCGATGAGACACTACGGGCACCTTCAGTAGCACAGCCACTCACTCTTCAACTGTGTTCAAGTGCTCCCATACTTCGTCATCTTGCTCCAGTTTCTGATTGCTTCTGTATCTCTTCCAGTTTCACAAGTGCTTTTCGATCATGTTGGTTGCTAGTATTGTGGAGAACTCATGTTTCTAGCTTGACAACAGAGAGATTGAGAAATATTTGAGACTGTTTCAGAGTGATTGCTGTTTCTCATGCAGATGTTTGATCGTTTTTCTTCCACCAGGACGGATTGAAGTGTTTTGAAGAGAGTCGGTGTTGGTTGAAGCCCAACTGTTCTTCACGACTTGCAGTGCTTTGGTAATAACCTCTATTGGGGGAGTAAGCACAGGATGAAGACAACAGCATGTGCTTTGTGCTTGATGAATTGTGTTCGGCTACACGGAGACGAGTGTGAGGATGCCGATGGAGCATCTGCACCCCTCCCCTCGTTTATAAAGACGATGACAGAGCTCACCATTACATCTGTGCTGGTATTTGCGTGATTTTGTGCTTATTTTGCATGAGGTTGTTACCCCATTGTGAATTCTCCATGTTATCTCTTCCTTTGATTATCGTAGATGCTGTGAAACATATATCCAATGCCTTTGAGTATTTGATGTGCGATGAGCAGCAAATTCCAGCTTCGTTTGTGAGATGTTCTGACTCAAGAATCGGCAAAGTAGTCACGCTGGAGGGACCAAGCAAAGAGAACTGGAGCGTTGAGGTCGGACCTGGCACGCTTCAGAGAAGCGGCCTGGAATTCAGAGATGGTTGGCAAAAGTTTGTGGCGGATCACAATGTGCAGATTGGAGACCACTTATTTTTCACTCTGAAATCATACTCTCGTTTCCAAGTTATGGTATACACCGATCACTCTTGACTGGAAAGTTGCTTTCAAGCAATCTTTAAATCAGCTATGTTTTGCAAATATGATTGGTGAGAAAACAAGTCACTTGTGTCACTAGGAAGTCACAGTGTCACTAAGACGGCGCAACTTTCAGGTTTACGATGAGAGTGGGTCTCCGAAAGCAAATGCCACAGCTGCGAGAAACTCTATTGCCGCATATAAAGATGAGCCAAAGTCTCTGTCGGAAGCTCAAGTCGGAACTTCTGTTATATATCGAAGCAAAGGACCAGTGGCGAGGCCAAAGCATAAAGTAAGGAGGAAAATCCGAACTAAGAGTGCTACGAAGCCAGTAGTTGTTGTGGGACGCTCGAGCGATTTGGAGCTTGAGAACAGTGACCCTCTTGTAAAGGACATTACCAATGTGACGGAGATAGTGAGCGATTCGAAACCACAACACCAGTCTGACACCATCGAAATCCCTGACAGCCCTGGAGCTGCACAGCCACTACTTGTTCCACATGTTGTACGAGGAGGGCATGTCATCTCTGAGCGGCGAGCAGTAACTCAACCAGAGAAAGAGAAAGTTATTCATGCCGCTCGATTGTTAGCCGACACTCTCACAAATCCCAAGATCGTGGTGGCGATGTCAAAAGCTTACGTTTACAGAGGTTTCTGGATGGTGCTCAACAGACCCTTCTCAAAAGCATACATGCCTCAGGAGTCGAGGGAAGTCACTTTGTGCAACAAAGCTGGACATGAATGGCCTGTGAAGTGGTTGTTCAAAGAGACAAACTCTTCGTCGGGCTTCAGTGGTGGCTGGAGACGATTCTCCCTCGATCACCGCCTCGAAGAATCTGATGTGTGCGTGTTCGAAATAGTGGACGAGACGAACTTTGTCATACTCGTGCACATATTTCGAGCCTTAGGACAGCCAGGTGAAGATAATAGCGATTACCGCCCTTCTTCAAGCAGGGATTGGGGTGTTGATCAGAGAAAACGGAAGACAGCATCAAATCCCTGTGTCGACACAAACCTGAATTACAAGAAGCCCATCGGATTTTTCTAGATCTGAAGTGACTTGCGGGGTGCTGAACAAAGTGGAGTGTCGGAACCATAACCAGTGGAGACAACACAAATAAACTCAATTTAAACATATCCAACCGTTCAAACAAAATTCAGAAAAGAAGTATTAAAGTGTGAAAGAAGGAGCTCATCATGGCGGCGAAGTAAAGCAGAAGTGAAGCCTTCACCAGCTTCTTCTTCATATGATGCAGACTACCCTTCTGATGTTATACCGCCTTCAAGAGTTTTGAAGAATGATGGTCGAAAGGGCAACCTCGATGTTCTCTCAATATAATCGCGATAAAATCTGTAGAAGACGAGATATGATATCCTTGAGATGATCTCATGAAGCTAGGACAACAACTGGTGCAACAACTAACTCGAAAACTGCGCATCTATTATCCTCCCCTCCAGCTTCACAACCAACACCATCAACTCCGTTTTCTCAATGCCGAAACAGTCAAGGCCATCGAACCCTCACCGTTTCAAGTCTGTAATGGGTCTGAAAATTTGTGTTCATGTAAATAACTTGGAAAAAAGCTTTTTTTTCTTAATGCCACCTTGACTGAACCATATCGAGATTTACTCCACGGTAGTGCTAGAAATTAATGAAGGAAATCAAATGTGTTTATGTGTGTGTGTGTGTGTGGTAAGGTATATACAGATTAATACATTGTTGCTTAACAATGAATCGTGTAGTGTTAAGATGCACTATTTTAAGATCTGTCTCTTGAGGTGTGTAATATTGATCGAGTTACTCATAATGGTGGATGATGTAGAAAGTACCACCAGCTGATTCCGTAACTGGCAGATAGATTTCTTAAATTAGCCCTGTTCGTCAGGCTTATAATCTGTTCGTATCTTCCTTCTTTTTTTCTTAAAAAGAACTGAGTTTGTTCCCCACAGCTGGAAAGAAGTTCATAGAATCAAGGTATCCTTGAGTGAATTATTATAAGTTGTGCTGCTTGTGCACGAAAGGGAATCAAGCCATCATGGCTGACAACACACAAAGCACAAACAGTGGACCAAATTTCATACAAAGTCAAGGTAGTAACGGACAAATAGGCATTTGCAAAAGAGATATATGTAGTGAACATCATCTTAATGTAGGAACCAACTACAATATGTGGCCATACCAAATTAGACATTCCTTGCAAAAAGATGAATCTTATGTTAAATTTTGAAAGTCAATAAGGGTATAAAGCATGAAAATTTTAATAAAAATTTAAAGAATTAAGTCATGAAGCTTTTGAAACAATATTCTAATCCATACGGATATTAGAATGTGCTCAAATCTTGCTATGAAAGTGATAATAATCCTAGGATTATTGTTGATATGGGCATAGACATTCATTTTACATAAGTAAGAAGCAAAACTAATCAATTTGAAGTAATAAATATTATGTTTCTAGAGAAGATCATTGATTACCATACCCTTAAGCAACTTTCAAGAAAATATGAAGTCTTTCAAAGACTACAAATTGCAAGGAAACTTCCAACCTATGAAGTATTAGAAGTTGCCATTAAAATTCAAACTAGCAAAGATAGAGAGATACTATTTGTATTTGGTTGTGGGTAATTTAAGAAGTATACAATATTATCTATCCATTCTAAAAGATCTACAACAAATCACCAAGACGCATTTTTAAAATAACCTTTTTAGAATTGTTCCAATAAACAATACAATAGTTTTAAATCTACTAATAGTCATATTGGAATTGATTTGAATTACAATTAAACAAGATTTAAACTAAGAAAATTAATCAAGCCACATTTAAAGGTATGCAATTGCTGTAGGTTATAAAATCTTAAACAAGAATGTATTGTCAAAGATCTTATTGAAAGGACAAAAGCTCTAGAGGCGTAACTTCAAAATCACAAAATTATGAGACTTAAAATAAGCGTATTAAAATAAAATAATTAAGATTATTCTTATGAAGATGAAGACTATGTGAATCTCAACAATCTTCTAAGCGTTGAGGCATGTGCTCTTGAAGGAAGTCCTTCAAGAACTTAGAATAAGATAAAATTTATTATAACAATTTTTTCTCTAACTTCATGGTACCTGGACTTTGTAGCCACACATTATATAAGTTGAAGCCAAAAAATATTTTCAAGCCTCCAATAAGTCTAAAGTCCAAATGTAAAATTTATTGGAATATATAGTCACAACATATTAAAAATTAAAAAAATTGACATATATTTTCCAAAGAAAGACATAAACAACATCTTAAAGGTATTATATTCATTTTCTATTCACAAGAATTTGTTGTCTATTAGTATGATTTTTGATTAAAAGCATAGTTTAGAATTTTTATCTAAAAAATGTATGATTTGTAATCACCTTACTAGACAAGTGATTACTTACTCACCTCAAAAGTAAAAAAGTGGTTTATATTGTCTTAATGGATTCACTATATTATCTTCTCTTAAAGCTAATATTATATTAGAAAACCATCAAATCAAGGTTGATTTGTAGCTTAAGAAATCATAATACTTTTATAAGAATTGAATCATGAAAATAATTAATTATAATATTGTCATTGAATTATTAATATTGTAATATTAAAACAAGGTATTATTTATTTTTAATAAAAAAATCTTTCTTACTAATGTTAAAATCAATCACATCCAAATCTTTTTCATTGCTTCTGTGTTGTACCACAATCATAAGATATAATAAGAAAAAAATATGAATTTAGTTTAAAAAGACAAGGATAAAAGATAGAAAATTAATAAATATATTTATCATTAATGTTGTATTTTTGCAACAAAAGTTTTTATTTATTTTATATAATTGTAAACATAGCAAAGTAAAGTAGATTAAATAAAAATAATAATATAGTATACATACCTATTACAATTTTGGATTTTTTTTTATTCATTGGAGTATGGCATTTAAGAAAAAAAAATACATTTTTTTAAGACATTATTTTTGAATGATTTGAGTTTGAAATGACTTTGTAAGAACTTTGAAAAGTTAAGATTGTTTAGAGGTGACTTTAATTTTTATGAAATAAAAAATAGAATATATCATAAGATTTATAATAAATCTACATATAAAAATTTATAAGTTGTGATTATAGTTTTTAAAAATGCATGTTATAAATTTAAGCTTGATTGAATACTTAAATTGAAGGTTATCGAAATTCAAGTGGATTTGATTCTTGGATATTGGAGGACTAATGAAGATTTTTAAGATTTGTAATAATTTAGATTAAATTTTTTTTAGCTTATTAATAATAGATTTAATTTTCAACAATTTTAATATTTTTTTAGAGTAATTTAATAATAGAAACAAGAAATATTGGTGCTTGAAGATAGACAACAATGATGGAGAAGGAGGTTGGTTGACTTCTAAGGAGATTATGAGTTTTTTTTTCCTATTTTGTAAGTTTGATCATTTTTAAAATTATTTTTCTTATTGATAAATAAAAAATTAAAAAACCTAAAATTTTTGAGTCAAATAAATAATTAAATTATTAATTATTGAGGTTTTGAATTTACTATGGACTTTGATTAATGTTGTTTAAGGTTTTTATAGGATTTGTTAAAAAAAAATTAGAATTTAATTAGGATTTTAAATATCTTCTCAAAATTTCTTTAGAATATAGTTAGAAATTAATTAGATTTTATTTATATTTTACTTAAGATTTATTATTAACATTTTTATTATCTCTTTAAAATTATTTATTATTTCTTTAGGATTATTTTTTAGTAATTTTTTAAAATTATTTATATTTTCTTTAGAAATTATGTAGAATTTTTTATGATTCTTTTGAAGTTTTTTTTTAAGATTTTTATAGAATTTTATTAAGGTTTTATTAAGATTTATTTAGAATTTTATTAGAGTTTTTAGATTCTTTGTTGTTGCAAAATTCTACTTAACCTTCTACATCCAAGAGCTTGGTGCATTTTCAAGTAAGACAATATTTAACACATTAATACAAGAGCTTATTTATATCAATATTTGTGGACTATTTTTGAAGCCTTCATTAGGTGGTTCTAAATACTTTGTAATTTTATTAATGATTTGTCTTAAAAAACTTAAGTTTTTTGTTTTTTTATTTTAAAGAAATAAATATGAAACAGTCAAAAAAATTGATATTTTTTAAGAATTAGTCTAATCAAGATGACATGAAATTATTTTGACCATAAAATTGGACAATAGAAGCAAATATATATTTTAAAGGATTCAAGTCTTTTGTAATTAATACAAAATTCAACATCAATTTAATAAACCTCATATACCACAATATAATGGTGTAACTGAACAATAAAATTGTGCATTGATGGACATAACTAATTGCTTCTTAATACAAGAATAACTTCTTCATGTTCTTTTAGAAGAAGAAATTTAAGCAAAATTCATTATTCTCAATCATTGATTTTTAATACTTCATTCAAACAAAACATATGAGTATTTATTTTTTAAAATGAAACTAATGGTCAAGCATTTATAAGTTTTTGGATCAATTGTATTCATTTATAACTACCTACCAAATTTCTTAAAAGAAACTAATTTATAAAGATCATGTTTATTTTACCAATTTTGGATTTTTTTTAAAGATTTTTTTATAGAAATTACTAAAAATATATCACATCTTAATTCTACTTCAATTTTGACTTCATCTTTATTACTATTAGTAGCAACCTATTAGCATTGACTAAATTGGAATTCTATCACTTTGCCATAGTTCATACATCATCAACCTTAAGAAGATGTTGAACTTCATGCAAAACCTACTACAAAAAATTAACCATTGCAATGCTCTACATACTAATATATTTTCAATAAATTACTTGATAATTATGCTATAATATACAAAACTTGACTAATAAATCTTGGTGACATAATTTTCCATACTAAAGATCTTAAATTTAGACAAATATTCTTAGATTTCAATTAAAAGATAGTAATGCAAGCTGTATATAACTCTTTAATGTGAAACAACAGTTGGAAGCTTATTGATTTACCTTTAACTAAACTAATTTGTAAATTTA